AAGGCACCGGACGAGTCCTTGCCGAGTAGACAAGCATGAGCCATCGGGCCGTGACTTTGCTTGCCCTGGCCAGGGGTACAGCGCAACGCATCGTGCAAGCCAGGCATGCGAATCGAGACAACACGTGGGAGCGCGCCCTACAGAGACAGTAAGGAGAGGAATGCGAGGAGAGAGGAGGGAGGGAGGAGGGTGTGAGAGAGGAGGGGGGGAGAAGGGAAGAGGGAAGTAGGAGGGAGAGGAATGGGAGGAGAAGGCGGACAAGAGTAAACTCGACAGGATGCATCACTCATGCTGCGGTCCAACCTCCCATCCCAGGTCCGACTCCTCCTGGTTTTGTGAAAAAACATCTTGCACCTCGTTCGAACCCGTGCCTCCTCCGCCCCGACCTTCTCAACGCAGGGCGCGGCACCTCCCCCCCATACCCGCCTCATCCCCCCCGCCTTCACCTCTCCGGCAGGCCCGCGCCCTCTTCGCGTGTTTCGGGGCTCCACAGGGCGGGGCCTAAGTGAGAACCGCCTCTTCTTTGACCGATACCCTCCAAGAGGGCCCCAAAAGGGCACCGAAGGCCTCCAACAATGGCCCCAGCGGGGCCCCCAGATTGCCCGCGTAAGCTGCCAAGAGGCTTCCTTCTCGAAGGCATGTATGGTTGACTCCTGGGCCTGCTCAGGCATACCCCGATATTCTATTTGGCGGTTGCCCCCCTTTGTTCCACTGCGTGCTCCTGCATTTGCTTGAACAATGCAACTCGCCTGGGCATCGTTGCTGGATGGGCTGCTGGGGATACTTTTTGCTCGCGAACGCGCCAGCGGGAGAGCCGCGCGCCGTCACAAGGGTCAAGCAAACCTGATGGGGATACTTTTTTGATTCGCGGCCCGCAAGGAGAAGTCCAGAGGGCGGTATGACCGAGGCTGGGGCACAGCGACAGATAATTGGCGCCTGATAGGGGATACGCTAAGCGTCAAGAATTCGTTGTAACGCAAGCGCGCACGCACGGCACGCAAAACGCCCCCCCCGCCCCGACGATGCAGCCCCCGCGCCCCCCCCCCGTTCCCCGGCAAACCCTGGCCCCCTTCGCCCGGACCATGTTATCCCAAACGCACGCACGCGCGGCGCGGCACTCCCCCTGGCCAAGACGCCCCAGCTCCGCCCCCCCTCTTCCTTACCCCAGCAAGCCCGCGCCCACTCCGCCCCGACCTGTGTTCCGCACGCACGCACGGCGCGGCACTTCCCCTGCTTGACCAGGCAGCCCCGCTCCCAAAAAAATCTCGCACGCGCACGCGGCACCTCCCCTCAGCCCAAACCAGCCAGCCCCCTATCCCCCCATGCGCGCGCGCACGGCACTGCACCTCCCTGCCCCCCAGACGAGCCAGCCCCCCCTCCCCTCCCACGGCAAGCCCGCGCCCTCTCCAGCTCAACCTTTCCACTCCACACACGCACGCACTCCCGCACGGCCCGCCTCCCGCGCCCCTTCCACTTCCCCGGCAGACCCGCGCCCCCTCCATCCCGATCTCTGCATTTCCGCCCGCACGCACGGCACGGGACCTCCTCTCCGACTGGGCCAGCCCATTCTCCCCCCCTTAGCGCTCACGCGCGCCTGGTGACCTTCCCCTGCCCGCCCTTCCCCACCCCCTCCCCCCCCCTCCCGCACGGGCCCGCGCCGCTCCGACCCCTTGATTTCGCACGCACGCTCTCGCGGCATGGCGCCTCCCCATCCTGCCCCGACCACCTTAGAGGGGGGACCAGCATGGCGCCACCCACCCCGACCTCATTCGGCACGCGCGCACCCACGGCACGGCACCTCCCCCCCGACCCGTGCGTGACAGTCTGGACTTACGACGTCAGGTGTTCGAAATATATAGCACCCGCAATTGCGGATAAGAGTGAGGGGACGGGCGCGGGCGACGCGGGCGTCGTCAAGCCGGCGGACCTCGTGGCCCCCACCTTCCCTGTCGATGGCGCTGTCCTTCTCCCCCTCCTCCTCCTCCTCCTCCTCCTCCTCCTCCTCCTCCTCCTCCGCCTCCTCCTCCTCCTCCTCCTCCTCCTCCTCTTCCTCGTCCTCGTCCTCGTCCTCATCGTCATCGTCGTCCTCCTCCTCCACCTCGTCCTCCTCCTCCTCTTCTTCCTCGTCCTCCCTCTCCCCCCCTCGTCCTTCCATCATCGTCCTCCCATTGTCGTCATGATCCTCCTCGTCGTCCTCCTCCTCTTCCCCCCCTCCCGATCCTCCCCCCTCCTCCTTTTTGTCGTCGTCGTCGACGTCGTCGTCGTCGTCGTCGTCGTCCCCTTCCTCCCCCTCCTCCTCCTCCTCCTCCTCCTCCTCCTCCTCCTCTTCCTCCTCCTCCTCCTCGTCCTCCTGCAAAAGCAGCCCGCCGCAGGCGCCGAAAAATTTGGTTTGTACACTGAACGTGGTTTGGGTCGCTGGTGGGCCGCGGGTTCTCCACCGGGAACGAATGCAAAGATGCCCGCCGCAGGCGCCGAAAAATTTGGTTTGTACCCTGAACGTGGTCGCGGGTGGGCTGCGGTCTCTCCACCTAGAACGAATGCAAAAGATGCCCGCCGCAGGCGCCGAAAAATGTGGTTTGTACACTGAACGTGGTTTGGGTCGCGGGTTGGTCGCGAGTTGGTCGCGGGGTGGGTCGCGGGCTCTCCACCTGGAAGGAATGCAAAAAAAACCCGCCGCAGGCGCCGAAAATGTTGGTTTGTACCTTGAACGTGGTTTGGGTCGCGGGTGGGTCGCGGGTGGGTCGCGGGGTGGATCGCGGGCGAGTCGCGGGTGGGTCGCGGCTGGGTCGCGGGTGGGTCGCGGGTGAGTCGCGGGGTGGGTCGCGGGTGGGTCGCGGGTGGGTCGCGGGGTGGGTCGCGGGGTGGGTCGTGGGGTAGGTCGCGGGTGGGTCGCGGGTGGGTCGCGGGTGGGTCGCGGGGTGGGTCGCGGGATGGGTCGCGGGGTGGGTCGCGGGGTGGGTCGCGGGTGGGTCGCGGGTGGGTCGCGGGTGGGTCGCGGGTGGGTCGCGGGGTGGGTCGCCGGTGGGTCGCGGGTGGGTCGCGGGTGGGACGACGACAACAACAACAACAACAACAACAACAACAACAACAACAACAACACGAATCCGCACCGCGGAATCCACTTCAGCCACGCACCCAGGGACAGTGAATGACCGTTCGGCCCCCTCACTCTGACGATGCATCAGTGGGCGCGCAGTCGAGCGCGGGCGGGGTTGGGGGTGCCACACCGTGCGATCAGTTTGGCGCGGGCTGGGTTTCCACCCGCGACTGCAGTTGACAAGAAGCGGGGGGGCAACGATGAGTTTGCCACAGCTTGCGGTTAGACGAAATGCTGGGAAGCAACCCTGGAATCAGGCAAAACCGAAAAAACTATACACATGTATGAGAACTGCACTTGCAGTGATTAGGACATGTGTCCATTGGGTACCAAAGAAGACGGTGCTGCAGGTGCGTGCAGTGAGAAACGCCTGGTGTATCCCAAGACGCCCACGAGGCCCCCGTGGTGCCCGTGAGCTCATGTGCCGTCGATAATGAAGATGCATATGGCAAGCCACCTCATGAATACAATGTTCGGCGGTGGACAAACCTCCATTTAGTAAACCTCCCCTTAGCGACAACGGCCTGGGACCGAAAGCGACGGACCTGGACCCGCAAAAATGACGGCCGCGACGCCCTCTAGCGAACGGAAAATGGCCAATTCACTAATCGACGTGTCAGGGTAGGAGGTCTATTAACCTCCGAAAGTTAAGCGACATGCTGTATACATCCCAAGAAGAGGGGGGGCGCAGTCGAGCGCAGATGGGATTGCCACAATGCGATGAGTTTGGCGCAGGTGGGAGTTCCACGCCTCTCGAGCGCAGCTGAAAACGAGCGGGAAGTTTCACCGATGCGGCTGCTACAGCTTGCGAGTAGACGAGAGGCTGGGGAGCACCCCTGTGGGCAGGGAAATACGAAAGCCCAACCAAAGTTGGATAAACATGATTAAATGCAAGTGGAAAGAAGCATTGTGTAAGTGGTGTTGCTTCGTTTGACGTTGTTTTGCTAAGGTGGTGTAAACCCAGTGTGTGTGTGTGTGTGTTTGGGCACATGCACTCTGCCACACCCTTGGGAGCCTCGAGCTTGCCCTTGAGACCCCTAGCATGCACCCCGAACAGTTGTATATTATAGACATCTGTATGCCCCTGGTACCACGGGCATTCTCGCGACTGCCATCACCACCATGTCTGGCGTGGCTACGATCGCGACTACCGCCGCTGCCATCGCCATGTGTAAAACTGTAACTGTGCGTGTGCGTCTCGAATGGTATCCGGTGCACTCCATATCCGTACCTGGGGTGTGGTTAGAGGCCTCTTGCATGTTTGTTGGGATCTCGTCAGTGGCCTCTTGGGTGCCTCGTGGGGGGTCGAATTGAAGCCTCTTCGGATTTCATGTTGGTCTCCCGGGGGCCTCTTGGGGCCTCTTGTGGGCCTACTGAAGCCTTTGGGGGGCGTCTTGGACTTCCTGGAAACCTCTTGGGGCGGAATGCTTTAGTTGTCGGTTCGTATTCGCCCTCTGAGGCCCCTCTCGGGGCCGTCTTGGGGCCCTCTTGTGCCTTCCTGGGCGCCTCTTGAGCCGTCCTGGGGTGGGGCTCCAGGCGCCGTCGCACTCGTCGTCGAACGTCGCCGACGACGTCGCGTCGTCGTACGTCGTCGCACGTCTTGGGCCGTCCCTGGCCCTCTTGGGCTGTCGTGGGGCCCTTGTGGCAGCCTCTCGGCGGTTCCAGGAGCGGCCTTGGAAGTCATGTGGGCCATCTTGGTCAGTCGGGGACCTGAATCATAGAGAATCTGAAAGTATCTCCTCCTCCTCCTCCTCCTCCTCCTCCTCCTCCTCCTCCTCCTCCTGCTCGTCCCCCACCTCCATCCCTTCCGACTTTCTCCTCCTCCTCCTCCTCTTCCTCCTCCTCCTCCTCCTCGGTTCTGGCCGCCCTCCTCCAACACACGGCGTGCGCCGCCCGCCCCCGCCGCCTTCGCAGCCTTGCCGAGCACGGCCGAGCGGGGCGCCTGAACCAGAAGGGGGGGTCCGCTCCTCGCCGTGGCCCTTCCCGAAAACGAAAAAAAGGAAAGGGTGAGGGAGGGAGGAGGGAGGGAGGAGGGAAAAGAGGGAGGAGGGAAGAGAGGGAGGAGGGAAGAGGGAGGAGGAAGGAGGGACGAGGAGGAGGGAAGGACGGAAGGAGGGAGGTTGGTTGGTTGGTTGGCGCCTGACAAAACGAGTGCTAGCGAAGCTGCGGGCACAGAATCGTTGTTGGTCGCCCAAGGGAGAGGAGGGGTGCCCGTCCCGGGGGGTCCCGACAGTCTTGGCGCGTGTTCCACCAGACATAAGAGTCTGAGGACATGGGCGCCGGGCGGACGGGGGGGGGGAGCGCCATGGGGCGACAACAGAGACCCCTCAGCGCATCCAAAACAAGAGCACAGCCTGGGAGCGGCATCGCCCCCGAAGGGCCATCCCGCCATGAGCGGCCATGACGCCCAACCCTGCCACCAAGGAGGAGTCAACAGCTGAGCAATGCGTCGCGAGGCATGGCCGTTCCAGCCCGAAGCCTGGTACAGAGCTTCATTCCTGAGACGCTCCTGTGGAGATGCGCGGAGCAGGCGCGGACCGCATGAGGGGGACGTATAAGCTGATCCAGCCCGGAGTCGGTGTGGCCCCGTGCAAGGGATACCGCAGTTTCCCTGCTGTTGGGCACAGGGGGTCTGGATCCGCCCCAAAGGAGACAAGGCCCAGTCGGGAAGGGAGGCGGGCGGCGGGAGCGAGCACACTGCCGCGTCACCAGCAGGAGGGCACGGGTGCAATGGTCCCGCTAGAACCACTGCCGCGAGACCAGTCCTGCTTGATGCGACTGTCCTTTCTTATCTGACAACTCGTCGATGCGATGGATGCCGGTGCGCGGGGGATACGCGGGCAGCGGGGGGCGCGAGGCTGCTCGTGCGATGGTGATGGGAGGGAGATCATTGATGTTGCGGGCCAACTCGCAAGCCTGCGCCTCGGCGGCGCGCGCCAAAAAGTCCACCGTCGCTCTGGCGCCACCAGGGCTCGAGCCATAACGTTTTCTGCAGAAACGTCCTGGGAGCACGCGGAATTTATGCAACGGGCCTCTCAGGCTTGGGGTTCCAAGAAGGCTCTCGGGGAGACCATTAAGCAATACTGGAGCGCAGACGGAGCGGGGAACACGACGCGCCGTGAAACGCGGATAAACATAAAGTTGGGCCCCCTGTCGGCCCAGATGTGCATCCAGGGGAACTCTCACGCACGGCCTCTAGAGGTCATCTGTCGCAAGTAGGCTCTAGGCAGGCAGGCTCTGGGCTGTGAGTTGCGTTGCCCAAAGATGAAAATTCTACGTTGCGGAATCGAGGCTTGCCTCCGGCCCCCGAAATCAAAAAAAAACAAAGAGCGCGGGAACTGCATCACCGCACACTACAAGGCAATGTCTCCAGCAGGAGACTTCTGCTCGTAGGGATTCTCGCGGGCGAAAGAGACTGGGGCCTCCATCAAGGCGTCTCCGCCGATTTGCCGCGGTCGAGCCTGTCCACGCCCTCGAGCCTGTCGATGCCCTCGAGGCGACGCAGCGGGTCGCCCACCAATCTCCGGCGCCGTCCAGATCTGAAGAACTCCAGCAAGACCTCGGCTGCACGATCCCTGGTCAGACCGCCAGCTAGCAGAACATCGCCGTGAACCCTGCGCCTCTGGAAGACTGTCTGATCCTTCTGCTATCCATTGCCAAGGCACGCAGCACTCATTCTCTTGTCGCGCAATCCAAAGCCAGCTGACACACCCTCCTCGATTGCGTCATATCCCGACTTCCCGTCAGTGATCAGGACGCAAGGGCAAGCTGAGATGGCGTCATTCACGCGCTGCTTGGAGGCGCAGTCCTCCAGCGCGCAGATGAAAAGGCGCACGTAGCTGATTTCGTCAAAGGTCTCAGTCATCATCTGGACCTTCGCAACCGCACTGCTTCTGGCCACTCGAGGTACCTTGCACGCTCTCCATGAGATAGACGCCACGGCCTCAGTCGCACCGCCGAGGAAGAACAAGCGGGGCCAGCACGATCATCTCCCCACCATGGGATTCGCGGGCAACGCGGGCGGCCCAGCCCGCGTCGCCCTAGCCAACCACGGCGATCTGGTCCATGGCCAGAACGAGTATGACCACGTCGGCAGCGTCGCCGATGGCGCGGATGAGCTCGTTGATCTCATGGATGGTTGAGACCGTTGCCGTAGGAATCTCAGCTCGTAGTAAAGAAACATCATCTGCACGGGGCCACGGGAAGAACTGCTGAACTCACTATCCGACTGTACCAAGTCGGCCTCGCATGTCTGATCGCTCCTTGTCCGAAATTCCCCCGGTAGGTTTTCGGCCGCGCCGTATCTTCATGGGCCGCGCGTTCAGGCTGCAGCTGTCCTTGGCGAGGCTGCAAATGAATTCGCCGTTCCGTCGAATGCTGACGCCGTTCTGCACGAGAGCTGGGCTCTCCAAGGGCGCCCACTCGAAAGTCCCCTGGATCTCGGCACGCTTCTGGAGCAAGGCTGAGCTCGTAGGGGCGCTGGCAATCATCATATCGTCGACGCGTAATATCACCGCGCCGACCAGCCTGTCGCCGTCGCTGATGACCAAGACGTAGGGCCCACACTGGACAACCTCAAGTTCGAGCTTCCTGAGCGCGCCCTTGAAATGGAGCCAGTACTTGCGAGGACGTGTACAAACCCGTACATTGGCACAGAGAACTGCAGGACCTGGTCGTCGCCCATGCCGAAGGCCTGGCGAGCGTCTCTCGGACGGTCCGCGTAAATATTCCTCTTCTCCTTGTCGGTCTCTCCCAGTAGGAAGATTGCCGCGGCAACTGCCTTCTCCAGTTTCCACTTGCGTCTCGCTGCCATGGCAAGTAGAGACTGACGCGCCCGTCGCGAGGCGACAGAGGACTGCGCGCGCCGGCGGAGCGGGCCGGGGTCGCCGAAGCCGAGCACGACCAGTCTGGCCTTTCCTCGAAGCACGTTGCTTTCTTCGCCCACCTTCCAAGTCAACGCGAAGCGGCAGCGCAGGAGGCGCGCCGAACCATTCCCCTGTCTGCTCGGGCCCCGACAGCCTGCGCACCGAGAACGGACGGGCGCTCCTTCTGCTGAACCTCGAGTAGCAGCTTCGTCTCCTCTGCGGTCGCCCCCTTGAAAGAGACCCCCACCTCGCGGGCCTGCGGCGCCGCGAAGTTGCCGAGATCGCCCATGTAGGCAATTGAGCGCGTCGTTAACTGGAACGCCCAGCACGCTGAGTCCTTGGCCTCGTCGCGCCGCTGGACGCTGCACGCGCAGCCCCATTATAAGTCCCCTTCCTGCAGGGAGTGGGGGATGGCCTCCTGGGCAACAGCGGCGACCGCTGCTTCTTGACAAGGGGGCTCCGACGACCCTGGCGCTTGCCGATGGCGCTCGGCGTCGATATCGGGCGCCGCCACCCCCATCCAGGTCGTCTTCGTCCGCGGCCACAGCAAAGCGTGCTCTTCATGGTCGCCGTCACGAGGGGCCTCGATGACAACTTCTTTTTCGGGTAATCCAGCTTCTTCGGTTTGTTGGTCAGCTTGTTCGTCGCCAGGCCGAGAGCGGCCCCGCGGCTCCTCTGGCGGCGCTGGCTGGCAGTCTGGATCAGCACTTGCATCGAACCTGGGGCTTCCCTCATGCGCATCCTCCTCGGGGGGTTCGGCCCCGGCAGAGGAGGTCCTTCTAGTCCAGGCGGGGCCGAGGGACGCTGCCGCCTCCGCCACCTCCTGGCCCGAGACTCCGAGGGCCCCCCTGGGGCGCCAAATGAAAGTCGCCCTCGCCAACTGCCCAGGGTCCACTCGGATTGCCCGCGAAGGCGCGGGCGCTGACGGACTCGCCGTCGCCCGCGGCCAGGTCCTCGCCAGTCGGCGGGGCATCGTTGGAAAAGTCGGCCACCTCGTCGGTGTCGAGATGCTTCTGGACCTCGCCGACAGCCAGCGCCCCTGGACGCTCGCGAGCGCAGGGGGCCCATGGCCCCCTCGGATGGGATGGCAGGTCGAAGCCGCCCTGGGGAAACTCGGCAGGGGCGACCAGCCAGCGCGACGTCGACCACGGCCCCTGGTAGACCAGGCGGGCGCCCCGAGCTCGCAGGCCCGCGGCAAAGACCTCGCCCAGGTCCACGCCAACGGCCCCGCACTGGCACGGAGAGAGGCTGCCCCGTCTTCCGCCGGGCCCTTGGCGGGGGAAGCCTGCGCGCGAAGACCTGGTCGGCAGTCTGGTACTTCTTAAAGGAACTGTATATTGATGCCTCGGCTCGCATGACGCGATCCGAGCTCTCCTTCTGGATGTTTGCCAATCTCGCCCGTCGTCGCACTTGAGCGTCTCTGCTGAGGGCACCGCCCTGCAGCTCGGCGCCAACGAGAGGCAGGTTACTAGGCCCTGGAAAGGCCCCACTCATTTTCGTTCGCGTAACTTCATTCCATGCGGAAACATTCATAATGCTAATGTGTTAGACGCCGATCATCGATGCATCCATCTCCAGAAGTTCACACGCATGTGATTGTTCCAAAGTTATCAAGAGCCAATGTTAATGCGATCCTGCTCATATAAGCTTAGACACTAAGACTTGCGTTTTACATATTCATGATATTCCTGAAGCCATCGAGCACAATGGAATGTGAGTATGCTAAACATAAAGGGAAACAACAAATAATGCATGAATAAAATAGAATACCACTTGGTCTTCGGTGGCACGACCAGCGTTGAGCTCAATGCTATCCAGCGTAGCTTCGCTACGCTCACATACGGGAGCCCCCCCTCAATGGATTACTGAACAGGTCATGTAGCATTCCCATGGGTGCAACTCCATTGCGCTGCGTCGAGGGCACCCGCCCCCCCCCCCCCACCTTGCACGCCACTCATTCTATCTCCTTTCATGGGATTTGTGGCTGGCACGGGCTGGGGGGGCACAAAACTTCCGCGCCCCTATCCTACGTTACAAAATATACGCAGGATGGGGGCGGGGAGGTTCTGCGCGCCCC